TCCAGCACTCTACGAAACTGAAGCTGAAAAATCACAAGTTCAAGCCCATCCTAGGGAACTGAACAACTTAGTGAGACCCTGTCTGAAATAAAAGGGGCCAGGATATAGCCCCATGTGTGAGGAGTCCTGGGTTCAAGCCCTAGTCTTGAAAAAAGGGGTGGGTTTATCAAGACATAGCATCTGGCCAAGTATAGATAAGCCATCATAACACCAGTGAAACCAAGTGATAGAAATCACTACTTCCAGACTGTGCCTTCGTTATCATCGGTGCAGTGGGCCCAGGACTGCTGGCTGTAAGCTTGAGGTCAGCCACATCTGGAGTAAAAACAAGACCTACTCCAACCAGCTGAATCCTCCTCCCAGAACAACAGCAAAAGATAGATCCAGCAGCCTCCAGCCACCCACATCCTTTTAATGACTGTTATTGATGGTTTTTACTTAAGTGGCTTTAAACAGCTTCGGTCCCACGCTTCCAGCTACCCACTCACCACCCGCACTGTAACACCCCATGGCAACCCCAACTGCAGGCACCCAAAGCTAACCCCACCTCTCCCTCCCCCTGGCTCTGTCACCATTCCCACTGCTCACAGGGCTGCACCCCAAGGATCTCTGGCAGTTCTTCAGCAGGGTCAGGAGCTAAGCCTGTCTGCTTCCAGCTTTTGCTCTCAGACTCTTTCCTGCCTGGAGCCTGTCCTGACTCAGCCACCCCCATTTCTCTGATGCCCAGTAACTCATCTTTCCTCCTTCATGTCTCAGCCCTGCTATTCCTTACTTAACAAGCCTCCCCTACCATTCATCCCTCCATTATTACCTTTGAAGCGTAGCCAGTTGTGTGTGTGGAGTATTCCATGTCTGCCCCACCTCTAGACTCTAAGCAAGGGATGATACAGGTTTTGTCTGTTCTGACCATCACCTAAGCCAAGCTCAGAGCTTGCACATAGTAGGTTCCAAGCCCAGTACCCACACATGGTAGGTTGTTCTGATGGGCCTTTCTGCCCATCCAGGTATTTGTTCTGTTTCCATCAAGTGAAAACTTGAACCTCCACAGGATACCTCTGAATTTTAGCATCTTCTTTTGTTTTATTCTCTACTCCCATAATATCCATGAACTTGTTCTGTGTGCCACCCCATTACCAAAAGGGCATTTCATTTCCTCTTTGATTTCCCTTCAATAACAGATTGCGACTTGTAATTCACTTAGCATACATTGAAACCTGAATATCTACTGATTATGTTTCCAAGCACCAAGCTTGTTACTATAAAGACAGAGAAAAGATGTCATCTCTTGAGGAGAGCCTAGAAAATTACTATTTCTGGCAGAAAACTTGTTTTGTCTCATAGAGTTGAGCTGCAGAGTCGTTCATGAATGAGTAATGAACTCAAGAAAGAAGCCTTCTCTTAACCCTCTCAACTGACTTTACTGAGAACCAAGCAACAGGAAATTTGCAAGGGAGAGAGGACAAGAGATTTAGGGAAAGAAGTGGTTGCCGTAACACAACTCTTGAAGGAATAAAATTGGGTGATTCATCTAGTTTACAGTGAGTAGTTTCTCAGCCTTCAATCTTGAGTCACCTATGTCATTTTTTTCTTGGCTATTTAGTTCCAATGTTTATTTCTGTTATTATTTTCCAGCAGTAAAATAAAATGGCATTCAAAAACTGAATTTTTTTAAAGAGCGAAGGCAGAAAAATATCTTGATGGTCTTTCCTTGACACAGGACATACAATTTTAATCAAATGCCATAAGGGTTTTTTCCCTCAAGAAATTATGTTAAATGTTTAACGTGGTCTCATCTCCTTTCTTAGTGGGTGATGTATTGTCCGCTATAAAGTTTTTAATGATGTAGAATCACTGCAAATTAAATAGCATGGTCCAAATCAAGCATTAAATGAAAAGCAGTGCAGGTGGTGGCTGGTGATGAGTACCACACTGTGGACTGTGTGGTGGCACATGGTGTGGCCAGATTTCGAAAGTGGAAAATCAGAAAGACTTTACTTGGTGGCTGGTGGGGCAGTGGGTCTCTGAGCTCCCACAGAGTTCCTGTGCCCAATGCCACATGGACCTGACAAAGGCAAGCAGCCCTGGGTCCACGCTCAGAGCCAGCCGCTATTAGCGATGTCACCAGCATCGGTCTTGCAGAGGCATTCTGGACAGCCACTGTAATGTCCCCTGGGGTGCCTGATTCCAAGGGATTCCCTCCCGTAGTAGTTGAGCTGCAGAGATTCTAGGCTTTTGTCCATTTGTTTTGCTTTTACCTTTTAAATCATTTTCTCAATGATTCCACATCACATGTACTGTTTCCCTATCATAAAAGTCAGCAGGAAAAATATTTGGAGGCATAAAAAAGTCAATAGACTTGGCCAGCCCTGGTCTATTTCCATGGCTAGGGGCAAACTCAGATGCCTTGCTGAAGGTTTCTATCAGACTTTGAGTGGAATTTCTTATGATTTCTGTTACTGCAGAAAGAGCCCGCCTCCAGGGCCTCCTGCTGACACAATGTGAGGAGACCTTGCTAACAATATGTCCCACCTTGCTTTGGGAGTGTTCTCTTTACCAGAGTCAAAACCAGAGAGTTAAAGTATCACTACCAAAAGCAAAAGCTGTCTTCCTGAATAAGAGGAGGACCCATTAGGGGACACACCTGTAACAACCATGGCCACCTGTCACCTGCTGGGTGTGTTCAGTGAGCGTGCTTCTGGGCTGGCTCTGAGAGCAACCACTGGGCCACCTGCTCAGGCTTCTGTCCTCTTTCCCGCTGCCCCAGGTGTCCTCATCGAGATCCACAGACCACCCCTTTCTCTCTTGAACTAATTCTGTGACTCTGGAGCCTTAACTTACTGCAATTTGGCAAACAAAGACAGGAAATAGCAATGCCTCTGTTGTCCACGGTCCATGGCTGACTGGCCCCTTCCACATCCCATCCAGTGTGGGGAAGGGAAGTTTGGAGACTGAGGGGGCCACACTCAAGGTCCATGATCAATGAGAAATGAAATCTGCCCCAGACATAATACTCCTAATCCCTAGCCCACTCATTTGACATGGAACAACAGAGACACCTCACTCAGTTCCACAGGTCTCCCAGTTGAGAACCACTGCTGGAGGCTGGGCAGGCCCTTGCTTTAACCTTTAGCCCAGTATCATCGATGTGTTTCCTCTCCTGACCACATCCCTCCTTGTCTTGAAAAATGCTACTCAGATATCCCTGGGAAGGACTCCCTGGTGGATCCATTTATTTACCTTTACTCAGCAGGCACCTGCTGAGTGCCTGATCAGAGATCAGGCACCATTTGAAGAGCTGCAGGTCACCCAGCTATGAGTTACCACTCCTGTCCACCCCTGCTCCACCTTAATCTTCCATTTGCATATTACCTCAAATCATCCCTGGCTCTTAATTGAAGAATTGAGCTTTTCTAGGATAATGACTCCTCCAACTTTGATCTTTATTCTTCCTGGAGTCCAGGACAATGATCTCCGTATAACAGGGATTCAGTAAATGCTGGAGTAAGTGACCAGTCCAACAACATGAAACTATCACCAAGAATAAATTTAACCTCGCAACAAGGATGTGAGTTTTCACTTGCATCATTTTCGAATTTGAAGATCCTGTCTGCAAATTGTGATCAAAGCCTACAGTAGATGTTTAAATCTTTTTAAATGTTACTAGATTAAAAGTATGCTATTACTCCTCTTCAGAATCATTCCCCTCTCGTTGAACACAGCTAGGACTTCCAAAACCACTTCAGGAAGTGGTGAGAACAATGGGAGAGATGTGTTTGAAGTGAGGGGAATAGTTGGAGAGGGATTCATGGCAATACATCTTCTACCATAATAAAATTTTCTATTTTTAATGTACGCATCTGCCATACTTTTATATCACATGCGTATCTCCTCTGCTGTGTAAATGTGATGAGGGGATAGCCTAGAGAGTTTTGGGGTGCCTGGTGAACAGTAGGCTGGACATATGTATCTTGCAAGGTACAATGGACCATGTGCTCACCTCTTGTTTCCTGGGGTGCCCTGAGAGGGCCTCGGTCATCCAGCCAGGCTCTGACCACCACTCGAGAATGATTTGTGAGGTGGAACATAGTGTAGCCCTGCCTGCCTCACCCTCGAGCACTCAGGGTAGATGGAAAATGAGAAAAAAAGACAATAGGTAGAAAAAAAGGAGTGAATCGAAACTGGTAGCATATGATAGAGGCATGGGACACACTTCATTTTCTTCTTTCAGTTTTTTTGTTGTCACAGAAAATTTTAATACACCCACAACCCCCCCCACACACACACATCTCATCACAAGAATAAGTGGAAAAACAAAAGCAGTACTTTTTATCCATTTCCCATACAAAATTGGTCAGAACCATAATCCTTCACTGAGCTCATCGCCTGAATTAACAGGCTTCTTTCCACCCAGGGCCGGTTTGTTTCACAAATCTGCCCACCCCTACTTTCCCTCCTACTGCATTGCTTGTTCTACAGCAAGCCCCAACATCATGCAACATTATCCATCAGAATTCCAGGAAGAATCTCTAAAAGGTGCTTTTTAAACACGGCCACAGCATCATCACCATGCCCTGAAAAACACCCACGATGCCCTAGTATCCTAAGATTCCCAGTCTCTGTTCCCTTTCACAGCCGTGGAGGAGCTTTCAGTCTGAAAATCAAGACACACTTTCATCTTCATTGGGAAGAAAGCTACAAAGGACCAAAGCTGATCTTTTTCTACAGGCAGGAGAAATAACAAGGATGGTTTTTGGAGACCCTGTCCAACCTCACCACGGTGGAGTCTCTGGCACCGCCCAAGCTCGCCCTCTAGTGGCAGGTGGACGTTGCCATGAGGGCCCTCGATTCTTGGGGAGCACCGGCTTCCTACCATGGTGTAGGTAGTTAAAAACTTGGCCACACGACTTGAATGAGTGTAACATGGGTTTTTTTTAAGTGTTGATTGAACACGTAATTTAAAAGCTAGAATATTAAATAAACATCTCTGCCCTCTCTTCCAGCAGGCCGCCCAGAGAACAGCTCTCCGAACACTGTCTGACAGGTACATTTTGTCATTTTTATGAACTATAAATTGCTTTATGAAACATTGAGCCCTATTTATTGTGGCATATAATTCATAATCGGATTTTGTCCCTAAAGTATCTGTGAACCGGGATGTTAAACATTTTGCATGCTTGGATTTGTCATGCATGTGTGGAGTTTATTACTGCAAACCTCGCCTCATTGTATTTCACATAAAGTACGAAGAATCCCTCGTTGGGCAATGAAACAAGAGACAAGAAACTTAGGGGGAAAGGCCTGAATGGTGCAGTAAATTCTGAACTTTGGAATTGACTGAGCTCTCAGCTCATTTTTCAGCAATAAGTACTTCATTTATATTGAGATGCTTGCATCAGTCTTTCCCTGTCGTTTCACTAGTGGCAGTCTGTCTTTTGATGAGATTCTCTCTGCAAAGGCTTTATTCATGTAACTCAGCAACCCCTGGTCCCAGGCTTCTGACTTCTTACTCCCTGCTTCTCTGTTTCTCCTGACCTCTGCTGTTGAATGAGGCGAGCAAACCTGACCAAAGCCATAGACTGTAATCTGTACCCCACTTTGCCTAAAAAGCTGCAGAGTGTGTGTGTGTGTGTGTGTGTGTGTGTGTGTGTGTGTGTGTTGAAGATCTATCAGGAGATGAAGCCCCTGTGTCACCTCAAGGGAATTGCTGACAGTGTTACACCGTGTCCCTCTCTCCCGGAAGCAGGGACCCTAGCCTTCACCCCTTCCTTCCTTTCTGGAACCTCTCTTTTGTAGAATGAGCAATCCCTGACTGTGTAAACCAGTTCAGTCCAGGGCTTTTCCAGTGTAAAACCTGTCACGTAGGCACCTGATCTGCTGTGCATGGTGAAAAGCATTTCCGGTGCAGCAGCAGGCTGCACCTGAGCGTGTTGTCTTCCTGTGACAGCCACTTCCTGTGACAGCCTGCACAGTCCACGAGCAGCGGGCACATGATCCAGAATTGCTTCTGGGATTTTCAGAAAAGCCAATAACTGTTCTGCTTCTGAGTCTGGTGGTGGAAGGAAGAGAAGCTCTGAATCAAAACTCATTTAAATTGTGACACCATAATTCTTCTCCTAGATGTATTTCTTTTTTCTTTTGACTTCTCTCAGGTAGGTGAGTCCTTCAAGAAAATGCACTAAGCCAGAGAAAGTTCTCTGTTTATAACGCTTTGTCATTGCTAACAAATGCAAGGTTTCTTTTCAGAGCAATGAAGATACTATAAAATTAGACTGTGATGAGATTTTTCACCTTTTAGCATTTTAAGGGGACAGTTAATATACTAAAAACTACTGAATTGCACCTTTTAGTGGGGTGAATGTCATAGCAGATAAATTATAGTTTAATAAAGCTGCATAAGCTCACAAAAACCAAATAATAAAGCTGCATAAACAATGCCATGGTGATTTTTGATATTAAACCAAAATCTATTTTAGGAAAATATGGATTCCCTTTAAAGACATGGTCACGTGTACAAAAATACTTTATCAGAAGGTACAACTGGGGTATTCAGAGGCTTCTTCCCAAACGATGCATGACTTCGTCCAGGCGGAAAGTGTGTGTGATCCTAATGAACTTTGCAGTTCCCTGGACTCCTTTCTGGCGTTCTCCCTAAGATCCCTTGTTAAACCCATTTCCTGTCTAGAAACAGAATTTGCTAATTGATAATACTTTCCTTATGAATTTCTCTATTCTTGAATATAATGGGCCATGGTGCCTTCCTCCATCCAACAGTTCTTCTACTCAAAATTGGTGCAGTTTGGCTCATTTCAAATGAATGATTTAGTTCACTATTCTGATTGTGGGAAGCTACCTTCCCTGCACTTTTTCTTCCTCAGTTTCCTACAAATACAAGACTGCAGAATTCCCGTAGGGTTAGCATTTGTAATCATCTGGGAATATAGTTCAAGCCCTTCTTCAAAATAAGGGCTTAAAACACCAACTAGATTCATCAGATTCATGTTTTCTTTCAAATAAATCAGTATTTTATAGAAAAATGAGTTGTGTGGCAATGACTTCCCTGATGTTCTGTTGGTCACAGGAACCCCAGAGGGGGTTCCAGGAACAGAATGACGTAGAACTTCCCTTGGGCTATGACCTTTCCCAGGTAGGGTGTTAGCCCTTGAATTAATCTTCCATACATTCTTTCACACAAAGTTTTCTGGTTCTGGAAACTATTGTTAGTTCAGACTATTATCACGTATTTCTATAAAATGCCATAATGATTAGGCAGCACTTGAATTTTTGTCATAGGAAAATAAGCAGCATTTTTTAGACCTCAAAATGTGCCCCATGAGTTCTGTGATCCTAGAACTGAGCAGGAAAGACCTCTATGGGCCAGAGCCATGCTGAGGCTCCTCACTCCCTTCCAAGCCTCAGGGTCCTACACGTTTGCTCCCCATCTCATATTTCACTTTCATTTCTCTCGCTACTTGTGAATGAGTGCAGAGGCATTTATACAGGGGAGAGCCGCTGTGACTGCAGATGTGCACCTTGAAGACGGGGTACGGTTGAGTTGGCTGCGTTGATGGGTGGCTGGCAGCTTCCTGTGTAGAGCAGCGGTCATTCATGGTTTTGCTGCAAGGAAAGCTGCCCTCAAGCCTTGAGACCTGACCCAGAGAGAGGGCAGATGGCCAGCAGGGAAAGAAAAGCGATGTGTTTCTGTCCCCTTCCAAGTGCAAGGAGGACTCATCCCTGGGGTGGTGGAGAACAGAAATATCCAAATGTCTCTGAAGGTCATTCTTATCTATGGTCTTTTCAGTTCTCCAAAGTTTCCTGGTTGATTTTCTAAATAGGCATTTTAATACAAATCCAATATCTGATACTTGACATTATATTTTTTATTAAGCTTATCATTAACTCATCCATAAGCACATAAAATTGCACATATTTATAGGGTGCCTTGTGATTTGTCGATATGCCTAAAGATTGTGTGGTGTGTAAATCAAGTTAAACATAGCTGTCTCCTTGTTTATCATTGCTTTTATGTTAAAACCATTCAGAATCCTTTCTTCGGACTCTTGAAAGCATATCACCCTGTAGCACAGAATCTCTTACTCCTATCTGACTGTACCAACTGCTCATCAATCAACCAGACTGTGTGTTCAAGTTAAGGAAGTCTTGCAGTTAATACAGATTCTTGAAAATTAAAACTATGGCATTTCCTCCCCCTGATTTTGAAAGCCATCTATGATCACTACCCAAGGAAACCTTTCACCCTATTTGGTTCAGTCAAATTAGCCAAGGCACACTGCAGGTCCAAATGGGATCACAGCTGCACAGCGGGATTTGAGGGGCTCCTGGCCATGCACTACTTTTATCTGTCTGTTTGGTACCACTAAGTCCACTGGCCAACCAGAGGCCCACTGCTAGCCCCAAATAATGAGAATAACAGGTGACCAGAGCAGGGAGAAGTGACAGAATTCTCGATGAGATAGACAAGCTAATGACAATCTCAGCTTGCTAGGGGACACATCCTCTTTCACCACTTACAATACCCATTTCATCTCTTTCTGAGTCATTGTTCTCAATGTAGGTAGGGGATGGGGGGGGGGAGATGGGGGATAAAAGGCTGTCGGGTTCATTTATTAAGGTGTGTCTTTGGACTCTGCGCTAGGAAAGCTGCAGCCTCACCAGTAATGTGGAAAATATGCAAAGTGCCATTAGGAAGAAAGGGTGGCCATGCAGGCAGCATATGAAGTGCCTTGGATACGGTTAACTCCCCTTCCTAAGTAGTAAATAGTACATAACTCTGATCAGAAAAGGAATCCGTGTGATTTATCAAGCTGAGCAACTGTGCATTTGCAGAGAAGCTGGAGGTCAATCTTGAAATCTCGGGCCAGAGGAGCACGAGGAAATTGCCAGGACTCAGAAGTTAATCATACCCTGGGACTGGTTCCATCTGTCTCAGGGCGACAGCCGCTGCACAGTGAGCAGGCATGCTTTATAGCAGCAGATCAGGAATTAATATTTTCTGCAAAACCTCAAGCATCATTTGCAGTAACTTGGGTTTTATAAAAATGGAGAATAATTTCATATGAATAAATCACGTTCAGCCAGAAATATGAGACACTGGGAAAAAATTGTGCTTGGCTTAAAAAAAAAAAAGGAACGAGCAAGAAAGACAACATGAACACAGTTGTTAAGCGGTGGCACTTGGAGGGCATGAATGGCTCTGTGGTTAAATTGTGCATATAATCATCTTCTGAAATGTCAGCTTGCAACTTCAGTGATGGCTGCGTTTTTATAGCCTTGGCGATGCAACAGCAGACTGTAACCTGTCTGCCCATCTGGCAATATCTCAGATCCAAGATCCATTTATACTCAAGTCCAAACAACTGCCATGGATGTATTCATTTATTCTACAGACATTTACTGAGTGCATCCAGCCTGATCTGTGGGGTGCTGTGCTAGGGCTGGGGGTACCATGGTGGAAAAGTACCTGACCTTCTGGCTTCCCTGGCCCAAAGGATGTTGGCTTTGCAAAGAGAGAATCCTCGGGTTTATGCATTTCTGCTTTTTCTGCTGCCCTTTTTAAAAATAAATCTCATGCTCCAAATCGTGTTTTGAGTTAGAAAGAATGTTGTAAAGTTAAGTAAATGAGCTATGATCTAAAATTAACAGATTTCACCTCCATGGAGGTGAGAAAGTATAAAACAGAGGGTGCCAGAAGCAGCACCGAGTGGCCCCAAAACAAAGAAGGGAGGGCAGGGTGTGCACCTGCCTGGCACAGTGGAGGCTCTGCGTTTAGTCTCCTCATCCTGCCTATGGTGGACCAACTCCCACAGAGCAAAGGGACAGTGTTGGGGTGCAGTTTTAGCCAGCCCTGACATGTGAGCAGAAAGCCCAGTTACCGTGTGATCTAATAGTTGGTCACTTCTGTAGAAATCAGAAAAATAAAAAAAAGACTTGTAAGAAAATCTTCAATTCCCAGCTTTGACAACGTCAAGATAGTGGGTCCATATTCACCCCGCCCGTGAGCCCCACATTCTCCAGGGGTTCTAA